CAGATTTTCTGGAGCTGGAGTTACAGATAGTTGTGAGCCACTACAAGGGAGCTGAGGCTGAGTTCAAAGAAGGGCAGCCAGTGCTCTTAGCACTCAGCCAGTGAACCATCTCTCTAGGCCCTGATACATGACATTAAAATTTTTCTTTATGTATTATAATAATGCATATTTACATATGTGTTATATATGGGTGCTTTGTCTGCATATATATCTTTTACACCAAAAAAACAGCATCAGACAGCTGTGAACTTCCCTGTAGGTGCTGGGAACTGAACTCAGAACATTTGGAAGACTAGTGGGTGGGTTCTTATTTGTTTGTTTGTTTTTTGAATTTTATTTACTTTTTAAATTTTATGCACATTAGTGTGATGATATCAGATCCCTTGGAATTGGTGTTACAGACAACTGTGAGCGGCCATGTGGGTGCTGGGAATTGAACCTGGATCCTTGGAAAGAGCAGGCGGTGCTCTTAGCCACTGAGCCATCTCTCCAGCCCCTTGTTTTGTTTTTTGGTTGGCTTTTTTTTTCTTTTTTTAAGGTTTATTTATTTATTTATACAATATTCTGCCTGCATGTGTGCCTACACACCAGAAGAGGGCACCAGATCTCATTGATGGTTATGAGCCACCATGTGGGTGCTGGGAATTTTAAATTCAGGACCTTTGGAAGAACAGCCAGTGCTCTTAATCTCAGAGCCATCTCTCCAGCTTTCTTTTTCTTAGACTTTACTTTTTATTTTTATTTTATGTGTGTAAATGTTTTGCCTGTGTGGATATCTGTGTAGCTTGAGTGTGCCTGGTGCCCACAGAAGTCAGAAGAGGACATCGGATCCCCTGATGGTTGTGAGCCATCATGTGGATGCTGGGAATCCTCTTCAAGAGCAGTGTGTGCTCTTAAACTCTGAGCCATCTCTCCAGCTTCATGACACTTTTTTTAAGAAGAATTTTTTAAAAATTTTATCTATTTTGATCATGTTTCCTCCTCCTCCAGTTCCTCAAAGATTCTCCCCACTTCCCTGCCACCCAACTTTATGTCTTTTTTAACCTTTCTCTTTAAAAATAAACAAGTAAAAGACAAACGAAAACAAAACAAGAAATATATATATATATAAAAAAAAAAAACTCCCAAAATGGAGCTGGTGTGATGGTGCACACCTTTAATCCCAGCCCTCGGGAAGGGAAACAGAGGCAGGAGGATCTGTGAGTTTGGGGCTAGCCTGGTTTACAAAGTGAGTTCCAGACACCCATCGTGGTGTCCTCCTTCCTACTCTCTTCCTGCCTGTCTGTCTACTTCCCATGATTCTCCTGAACCCAAAGCCTGGGGAACCTTAGCCACCCCTACCCCATTCTGCCCTTTCCAGCTTTTAGGCCTTTTAATCAACCAATCAGGAACAGTGTCTTGGGCAGGTTCACACAACAAGGATAGGGCAATAATGAGATCTTGAGGGCCAGTAATTAGCATCAAAATACAAGCATCCGAGTAACCCCCAACCCCGGTCTTACTGAGACCCTGGCAGCTACGTCTGAGGTTGTCTGTCACAGAAGACATAAGATCCAAGGCAAAGTCCATCCTGTGCGCTCTGTCCTGCACCTGAGCTATGCCGTATGGACAGCTTCAGGGACCTCACAGAAGCATATTAACTGGTTCTCACCTGCTGCCAAGCTATGCATTCCATTCTCTACCTTTCCATGTGACTCTGATGCCAACTGCGGGAGCTCATGTATCTGAATGTTTCTAAACCTTCACACCATGGAGCCCCCTAGAAAGCATAGCAATACTGTTTGCTTCTTTTCTTCCCAGGAACAGAGGATGCTCCTCAAGGAGATGGATAGTAAATGACATGCAAGTATCTGGAATGTCTCTTTTCTCCTCCTCCTTCTTCTTTCCTTGGTTTATTTGAGACAGGGTTTCTCTGTGTAGCCTTGGCTGTCGTGAACTCACTCTGTAGAACAGGCTAGCCTCGAACTCACAGAGATCCGCCTGCCTCTGCCTCCCTGAGTGCTGGGATCACAGGTGTGCACTCTACTTCTAAAGAAAAAGCCTGGTTACACCCTGCACAGTCTTCATGTCACCAAGATGTGTATCTGAAGTGGATGTCTTCCTGTAAAATCACCAAGCTTGGTACTTGCCAAAAGCACGTAATTCTCACCCTAATACCAGGGATTTCTCCCCCCCCCCCCTTTTTTCTTTATGGCACTAAGGATTAAGCCAGGGACAAGAGAAGAATACAGAAAAATACCATCTTTCTGTACAAGGATCAGAAATCATGCACACAGTAATTTCTTCTTTTCTTCTTCTTTTTGGGGGATGGGGTCGTCGGAGCCTTTTTATATAGCACTGACTACCATGAACACTACAGAGCGCTGCCTGCCTCTGAGTGCTGGAATTAACAGCATGTACCCACTACCTCTCATTTCAAGTACCACTAAATTTCATTTCAAGTTTGTATCTTGAGCCCATCTATGCACTGTATCTGCTATGAGACAAAAATATCTTCTTGTGAACTTGGACTGAACGTGCCAGAAAGATACGATGATATTAACTCAGTCACTAACGGTCAGTGTTGGGCCCAACTGTGAATTTACTTATAAAAATGCCAGCATGTGCCGGGTGTGGTGGTGCACGCCTTTAGTCCCAGCAACTGGGGAGGCAGAGGTAAAGCAGGTCACTGTGAGTTCGAGGCCAGCCTGGTCTACAAAGCGAGTCCAGGGCAGCCAGGGCTACGCAGAGAAACCCTGTCTCGAAAACAAAAACAAAGCAAAACAAAAAAAAGTCAACATAGTCAGGGCTACACATAAAAACCCTGTCTTAAAAAACAAAGTCATCATGGGCTGCAGGTATGACTCAGTGGCATACTGCTTGCTTAGTTTCAATCCCCAGTATCATCCTAATACTTTTTAAGCTGTTAGCACCATGAGTTAAACCTTGAAGATACTAGGATAATAAATACTGCTCACTGAACGTGAAAGCACATTGGAAAGGAGACCAGTTCATGCTCTGACAGCGTCCACCAAAGAAGCAGCTTTTTAAAAAATGACAGGGTACACAAGCCAGTTAGTATAATGCACACTGCACAAACTCCAAACAGTCAACCAGGGATGAACAATCTGGGGCATCACGGAGAATGAACACTATACACACTGCGCTTTACAGCCTATTTTCTTCCCCAAATTCTGCCGCTGTGAGACAGACTCATTTAACAAAAATGGCCACTTTTGCCAGTCATGATGGCCCATGCCTTTAATCCAAGCACCCGGGAGGCATAGGCAGGTGGATCTCTGTGAGTTCGGGGCCAGCCTGGTCTACAAAGCGGGTCCCAGGACAGCCAAGGCTACGCTGAGAAACCCTGCCTTGAAAAACTAAAAAAGAAAAAGAAAAAAAGACAAAAACTATAAAAAGTAACCAATAAGAAGAAACAAACCCTGAAACAAGAAAACGTCAGACAGGAGTGAACGATTCTGGGTATGTAAACCAGAGTGAAAGACTTTTCATTTGTTCCTTCTTCTCTTTCTTTCTCTTTCAGGTTTTTCTCTTAGATATTTTCGAGTAACTCTGTGGGTGTGAGTGCGCACATGCGTGCAGGTGCCTGAAGGGAGGAGAGGCCTCAGATGCACATAAAGCTGCAGAGACAGGCAGCCTCAGAGCTGGGAACCGAACTTGGCTCCTCTGCAAGAGCAATAAGAGCTCTTAAGCACTAAGCCATCTCTCCACCCTCTCCGTTTTATTTTTTGAGACAGGCCATAGTTGGCCTGGAACTCATTAGGTAAACCAAGCTGGCTTCCAACTCACAGAGGTCCACCTGCTTCTGCCTCTGGAGTGCTGGGATCAAAGGTGCAGGCCACCACGCCCTCTGACCCAGCTTCTTAAGAACTTGTTTTGTAGCTGAGGTTGACCTGGAACTCCTGATCCAAAGGTCCTCCTCTTCCCTATCCCTCTTCCAGGTGTTTCCTACCACACATGGCTGAATTTCGAAGTTTCTAGATCATAAACCTGCATCAGGCACTGGGCAGACTATGAAACGTCTGGTCTCAGAAACAGACCACAAAATTAAGACCATCGTGAAAGATCATTAAAAAAACAAACACCCCGCTTTATATCTAGCACTTCTCAATCTTGGTACTGCTGATTTTTAAAATTTGTACATTTAAATGATATATTTCTGCTACCTCCTCAGAACCGGGCTCTCACAAGTGTGCACCAACATATCCCACATCGAAAAACAGCTAATATTTTTAAGTTTTTATAAGTTTTATCTTAGGTATATGAGTGTTGGATCTGCATGTACACCTGCATGCCAGAAGAGGGCAGCAGATCTCATTATAGATGGTTGTGAGCCGCCACAAGGTTGCTGGGAATTGAACCCAGGACCTCTGGAAGAGCAGCCAGTGCTCTTAACTGCTGAGCCATCTCTCCAGCCCCAACAACTAATATTTTTGTCTTAGGCAAGAAAAGTATTTCTGGACCCTGATAATAGTCGATTTGTAGCCCAGCAAGGTGGCGCATGCCTATAATCCCAGCACTCAGAGAGACAGCAGCAGGCAGATCTGAGTTTGAGGCCAGCCTGGTCTACAAGGTAAGTTCCAGGACAGCCAGGGCTACACAGAGAAATCCTGCATCAAACAAACAAACAAACAAACAATAAAAGTCAATTTGTAACTTGATCTAGTGAGTTAATGTGTTTTGCAATGCCGAGGACTGCATCCATGCCCTAGCATTGCAAGGAAAGTGCTCTACCATTGAGCCACATTGCAGCTTCTTTATTTAGTTTGTTGTTTTATTTTTCTTTTTTTCTTCTTTTTTGTTTTGTTTCTCAAGACAGGTTTTCTCTATGTAGCCCTGACTGTCCTGGAACTCCTTCTGTAGACTAGGCTGGCCTCGAACTCGGAGAAACTCCTGTGTCTTCCTCCCAAGTGCTGGGATTAAAGACGTTTGCCACCACCACCCAGATAATGTAGTCTTTTTTTTTTTTTTTTTTTTTTCAGATGACATGTGATAAAAGACTGGCTTTTAAAACTCTCAAACCTTTGACTTATTTCAAAACTTTTTCTTTGTGTTTTTGAGATGATCTCACTATGTATCAGTGACTAAGTGACTAGCCTGGAACTCACTATATAGACCAGCTTAGCCTTGAACTAAGAGGTCTGCCTGCCTCTGCCTCGTGAGTGCTGCCGTGATTAATAAAGGCATGTGCCACTAAGCCTGTCTGGTATTAGTCTTTATGTGATGTGGCTCACTAGGGAGCCACACCTGAGCTAGTCCATGCCTTGTTCAAGAAGACTAAGCCACTAACCCGGTGTGGACATCACAGCAGCATAAAGCATCACCACAGGGGGCCGGAGAGAGGTTAAGAGCACCATCTGCTCTTCCAGAGGTCCTGAGTTCGATTCCCAGCAACCGCACAGTGGCTCCCAACCATCTATACTGGGATCTGATGCCCTCTTCCAGCATGCAGATAGAGCATTCACATACATAAAATAAACTTTTAAAAAAGTGTCACCACAGCTTCAGAGTATTGTCCCAGACTTTAAACACCTTTCCAGGGGCACAGTACTTAAGTCTAAGAGAGCACTTGCCCAACAAGTCCTGGATACAACACCCGCCACTGAGAAAACCAAAACCAAACGAAATCAAAAGACTCTGCTTTCTTAATGAAGTTTACCATTTTTCTTATAACTTATTTAATTTTATTTTATGTGCATTGCTATAAGGGTGTCAGATCTCCTGGAACTGGAGTTACAGACCGTTGTGAGCTACCACGTCATTGCTGGGAACCGAACCCAGGTTCACAACCTCTGCTCTTAACTGCTGAGCCATCTTTCCAGCCTCTTTGCTTTCTTCTTTTTTTTTTTTTTAATGGCTTCTTTTTTTCTTGTAGACCACACAAAATTAGGTATCTGTTTATTGCTGTACTAGGATTGGACCCAGGCCCTTCCTAATGACAGGCAATGGACTGTATCTCCAGTGGTCCATACCTTTAATCCCAGACCCTTTCGAAGCAAAGGCTGTCAGATCTTTGTGAGTTCAAGGCCAGCCTGGTCTACATAGTGAGATCCAGGGCAGCCAAGGCTACACAGAGAGACCCTGTCTCAAAACAAACCAACCAACCAACCAACCAACCAACCAACCAACCAACAAAAGCTTTAACTCTTCAAAGACCAGACAAATCAATATATAAAAGCTTCCTGTTTAGTTATTGTTCAAGAGGCAGAAAGATGGGTGACCTCACTGCCTTTTGAAACTGTACTGAAATTAAGGAAGACAAGGGGATTTTTTTTTTTAAGTCCACTTTGGATACTTTTAACACAAGGAAAGCCTATGAAGGTGGCTCCTAGCACATCCTTCATCCACTGTCTTTCCTGTCATTTGACACTTTGTGACCTGGCTGCAGTGTGGGTGCAAAAGCAGGCTGGCTTGAAACCTGTTCCAGCCAGCTCCTTTCTTCTAGAAAATCTTCTGAAAGCCGAATGACCTAGAAATCGCACGTTAGCCAGGTGTGCGCTTCCCCCAACTAAAGTCTGGGCATAAACGAGGTGAAAGAATGCCAGCGGGACGTACATTTCCAGGCTGCTCTGAGAGGACTCTTGGAAATGACTAAGAAAAGCAGGGGAGCATTTTGAGCTTCGCCCAGACGACTTGTTTTAAAAGCTCAGAACAGGGTATTTGTGTGTATGGAATTGTCAATAGCAGAGCACACAGGGACACTTCCCCGCGCTGGCTCACAGGTTCTTTTGGGGGGCTCATTTAACTTCCCTCAGTTGGGCAAGCAAGGGGGCCCTAACTGACTCACAATTCACCTCAGTGTGTCACAAAGCTCGGGGCCTTTGGAAGTACAGTCTAACCATGACCATGTAGTCAGCGCAGAGCCCCAGAATTCGCTATGAAACGCCCGGCAAGGGAAAGCCTGGTGTCCTGACGACATATTCCTGCCGCCTCTTCAGAAGCAGGAAAGTGAGGAGGCCTCAGGGCCAACCTTGATGCGCTCAGAACCGAGGAGGGGCCAACAAACCCCTCAGGACCCACCCGAAAACCTCAATCAGTCTTTGGAGCCCCAACACCCAGCCTCCATCACACACAGCCTAACCAAAGTGACAGCACTGCGGGCAGACAATCCCCGACTTTCACAAAGTTAAACAAGCGGTGCCTTTCACGGTAAGAACGAGCAGTAACACCAAAACCTCACAACCGATTCCCCGGCTGCAACGTCAGCGTCGCTCGGCCGGTAGAGCAGGGGGCCGAGGGTGCGGCCCGTCGTCGGCCTCCTCCGCCGCTGGGTCGTTCTCCTCGCCGGACTCCACGTAGATGGGCCAGTCGTCCGTGTCGCTCTTCTCGTGGCTTTCGGAAGACGCCTCCACCAGGCTAAGGTTGACCGGCACTAGCTCGTCGTCCTCCTCGTGAGCGTCTGTGACGCAGGTGCAGCTGTCGCACAGCCCGAAGCGCCGCAGCCCCTGCGACAGGTGGCTCGTGAAGGTCCTTCGGCAGCCTTTGCAGATCATTGGACGGTTGGATCTGTGGACCTGCCACGAGGGGACAAACGTCACCGAAATAAAGGGGTCGGGGGTTGGGGGGGGGGGCTGGAGAGATGACTCAGCGGTTCAGAGCGCTTGCTGGGCAGATGGAAGTAACAGGTGCTGGTTGGGGGAGGGGGGATTGGGGATGCACCTTACATCTCCAGGGGACGGAGATGTGACCTGGGCCCGCCCTCCTGTTAGGAAGGAAACACCCTGGCTGACACTTACGCTCAGGGCATGGCTCCGAAGGTGCTCCTGGCGCGTGAACCTCTTCCCGCAGGTCTCACAGGGATAAGGCCGCTCGCCCGTGTGGGAGCGGATGTGCCGCTTGAGGATGCCCTTCTGTTTGGCAGTGTAGGGACAGAAAGGACACTTGTGGAGCTTGATGGGGACCACCAGCACGTCACCTGAGGAACCCGACAGACCCAGTTAGCTGTAAATAGCCACAGCCACCGTTCAGGGTGGGACTGGGAAACCCCATCAACCCAGACAGAGAGGTCATGGATAAGACTCCACCTGCTAGGAGGCAGCAAGATTGACCGGCACAAGCTCTGCTTTGTCTGGCTCCCGGGAGGTCAAAGGTCAGCTGATTGGGCTCCCCCACCCCCACCCCTACCCTATGCCTGAAGACTGAACTCAGGGCTGGGAGTGTGGGACACAAATGTTCTTTCACCAAGTCTCATCCCCACCCACCCAGCTTGGTTTTTCAGCATGAGCTTCAATGGCTGACACATTTCTCCAGCCCATGAAAGGTTTTTGCCGTTGTCTAAGATTTACTCTTTATTTTATTTTTATTCATGTAAATGGGCACGTCTGTGTATTAATGCCACGTGTGGACAGGTACCCATGGGGGCCAGAAGAAGGTGTCTCCTTGGACCTGAAGTTATAAGCCACCTGACATAAATGCTCTGGGACCAAACCTGGGTCCTCTGGAAGGGCAGTCTTAACCTCTGAGCCGCCTCTCCAGCCCCACGTTCGGTGAGTTTTACAAATATTCTGTGGTATCCCAAGATTATTTCTGTGTTCTCCGCAGGCAGCTCCACTGTAACACACAGCGTGGTTCATCCCGGCATGAGCAACAACCAACATCCTGGGCTATAAAGACCAATCACCGTGCAAAAGAAACAACACACGGGTTCTTACCCGGAAACACCAGGAAAACCACCCAGGCACGCTTATTAGAGAAGCACTAAGTGGCACCTGGTGTGCCAGCCCTGATCTTCTCAAACCCACAGGCCTATCATTAAAGCCACGATCGGCAACGTCCCAAGAACCGGAGGGCTACCGTGCTGTGCTGATTTGAATGAGCAACGTTCTCCAGAGGCTCATGTATGTGACCACCTGGTCGGTGGTACTGTTTGGACATAGTGCCTGGCAACCGGATTCTTTAAAGATTAATTAGTTTACGTGGGAATAGAGGAAAAGATATGTGGGAATATGAGTGCCATAAGGCAGAATAAACTTGTTTTTATTCCAGGGTGTTTAGGTTTTAAACCTGATGAGCCTTCCCATTCCGGTTTTTTTTGTTGTTGTTGTTGTTATTTTTGGTTTTTTGAGACAGAGTTTCTCTGGGTAGCCCTGGCTGTCCTGGAACTCTCTTTGTAGACCAGGCTGGCCTTGAACTCACAAAGCTCCTCCTGGCTCTGCTTGCACCACCAGGCCTGGCTCTTGAGAGCCTGATTTTAATCCCCACCACCTGTGAAAAGCTGGGCGTGGCTACACACGCCTGTACTCCTAGGGAGATGGCTGAATCCCTGGCAGGGGGTCCAGGGCCACCGGCCAGCCAGCCTAAGCAAAATTGGCAAGCCCTAGGCCGGCGAGAGACCCTGTCTCAAAAACCAAGGCAGGGGCTACAGAGGTGGATGAGCAGTTTAGGGCCCTGGCTGCTTTCAGAGGACCTAGGTTCAATTCCCAACATGCACGAGGCGGCTCACAACCATCAGTGACTCCTGTCCTCGGAGAGCCAACACCTTCTCCCGGCCCCTGCACACACATGACGTACAGGCATACACGCAAAAATACAGGCAAAAATGCATACATGTGAAGTAACATAAAATAATTTGTAATTAAAAACAAGGTGGTGGACATCTCTTGTGTGACATCTAATACCCCTGCTCCCCACATGCACTCGCGCACACAGACGCGCTACACAAAGAAACGTTGTTTTATCTACGGGAAGCTCCCAGTGGATACCTAGGGTAGTGCTGGCGGCCACAGCCATGATGTAGTGGTAGCAACGGTGGGATGATGGGCGAACGCGAGGCTCAGAGAGCACTGAATGCCGGTAACCAGAACTCACCTGAGTCCTCTCTATACCAGTCATTCTGAACATCCATCACCGAACTCATGGCCACTCCTGCGCCTTCCAGTCTTCCCTCCAAACTCTGAGAGAGGTGATGCTCTGAGTCCTCTTTGCTCTGGACAGCACCGCTGCGCAGGAGGGCCTCCAGGAACTGCTTCACGTGGTAGCTGCCGTAAGTCAAATCTAAGGCCTGGTGACTGGGCAGGGCTTCCTCCGCCGGCACCAGCGGGGTGCCGTACTGCAGCTGTTCGCCGGCCTCCGCCTCCACTCCGGCAACACCAAACTCCACCTTAGGTTCAACCCGTCTGGGCACAATAGAAAGGTCACCGTCAGAGGCCCCAGAGCCCTGGCTGTCTTTCAGCACCAGCTCCAAGGGACGGCACTCTTCACAAGGGGACGCTCTTGTACACTCCACGCTCCCCTCTCCCTCCACCGGGGAGGAGACAAAGCTCTTGGCACCACAGGAAGTGCCCTCCAGTCCTGAACTCGGACTTCCACCGTCTAGCTGATGAGCTGCAGCAGCGGCCGCCGCCGCCGCAGCTGCCGCCGCCATGGCTGCGGCCACCGCAGCCTCCTTCTCCATCTTCCGGCAAATGTCAAGGGACGACCTGATGTATGCCTTGCAGAAGTTGACCACGTCGTTCATCTGCAGGTAGCTGGCAGCTGACATAACTTCAATCACATTCTCGCCACACAGGTCCAGCTTCCCGGAGTAGAGGAAGTCTAAGATGGTGGAGAAGGCGTCGGAGGTGACAATGTCCAAGGAGGCTGTGCTGTGCCGCCCGCTGTCCTGAATGTAGTGGATGAGCACGGCACGGAAGTAGCCACTGTTAGCAAACAAAATGTTCCTGTGGGCCTTGAAGATGCGCCCTTCCACGATGATGCTGCAATCACAGAAAAAGTCCCTTTTCCGCTGCTCATTCAACTCCCCCAAGAGCTTGGCGCAATAGGACTGCGCCTCCATCTCTCCACCAGCCGCTGCTGCCCTGGCGGGGCCTGGAGCTCTGCCAAGATTTTTTTTATTGAAGTTAATTCACGCATTCCAACCTTACGGATAAGCTGTGCTCACTGAGTCTGGTTCTTTTTTTTTCTGTTGCCCAGGCTGGCCCTGAATTTTCTACGCAGCCAAGAATGATCCTGAACTCTTGGGGCGGGTCACCATTGCCAGTTTATGTGGTGCCTGAACCCAGTACTTCCTGCGTGCAAGGCAAACTACTCTACCACCCCATCAAATCCCTGGCTTCAGCATGTTCATGCAGATCGTATGTTATATTTAAAACCACTGCTTCTGAGCTGGAGGGATGACTCAGCGGCTAAGAGCGCTTGCTGCTCTTGCACGGGCTGTGGGTTCAGTTCCCAGCACCCACATGCAGGTCTCTCCCGTCCTTAATCCCAGCGTCAGGGGATCCCAAACCTCACTGACCTCCACGGGGCACCCGTCGTGCTGGAACCCACAACATACTCGCATGCAAAACACTCACATAAAGTAAAACAAATAAATCTAAAAAAGAAATGATTTTTTTTTTTTAAACCAAACTACGAGGTCAGTGGTGTTTTCACGATGTAGACAGAAAACAGTCTAACAAAGAGCAGTGATAGCTAAGAACACGTGGGCAGAGTGATTGTGTTTTGCGTGGATTCTTTCTATGTTTATTCAGGAGGCTGAGGTAGGCGAATCAGGAGTTGGGGGCCAACTTGGGATACAGAATGAGACCCTGCCTATAAATAAATGGGGGTGGGAGACACGGCTCAGTGATTAAGAACACTTGCTGCTCTTCCAGAGGCCTAGAGTTTGGTTCCCAGCACCCACACTGGGCAACACACAACCACTTATAACTCTGGCTCCAGGGGATTCAACACCCTCTTTTGGTCTCCATGGGCACTCATATATAAATAAATACATAAATAAGATATCTTCCAAAAAAAAAAAAAAAAACGTAAAAATAACCAGCTGGGCAGTGGTGACACACGACTTTAATCCCAGCACTCAGGAGGCAGAGGCAGGCAGATTTATCAATTTGAGGCCAGCCTGGTCTGCAAAGTAACAGCCCGGGGCAACCAGGGCTACACGGAGGGACCCTGTTTCAAAAACAAAAAATAAAATAGAAACAACCATAATTTTAGTACTTAAGAGGCAGAGAGAAGAGGATGAGGAGTTGGTTGTCTCTGATGTTGTTTACACTTATTTATCTACATTGTGTGTATATATGTATGTACACACGTATGTAGGTATGTACGTATATGGGCATGTGGGTGCCATGGTACGCATGCAGAAGTCAATTCTGACCATGTGGGTTCTGGAAATGGAAATCATATCATCAGGCCCAGTGGCAAGCACCTTTGAGCCATTTCATCATTCCCAAGGTTGTCTTTGACTTCACAGAGAGTTCAATGCCAGCTTGGGCCAGCATCGAGGTCCTGTCTCAATGCTCAGTTGGCCGAATGCCTGCCTAGCACTCATGAAGGCTTGGGTTCCATTCCCAGCCCCTCATAAACTGGGGGTAGTGGCAGATGCCAGCATTAGTGAGGCAGAGGCAGGAGGATGAGGAGTTCAAGGCCATTGTCAGCTATATAGGTAGTTCCAAGTTAGCCTGGGAAATTATACCCTATCTTAAATAAATAAATTTTTGTAAGTCCTAATTTTGTCCCTATTTTTTCAATAGAGAAATCAAAGATAAGGAACGACTAAGCTGTGACACAGCTAGAGTCTATGTCTAGAGTTGATAGATCTTAAGCACTGCATTCTACTCTTATAAAATGAATAAATAAATTAATTTTACAAAAAGGTTCAAGTGGTACAGTTTCCTACCCAGTATCCCAATCTAGGATTAGAGATTAGCTAGCAGCCTCAGCTTGTATCTTGTGGAGAAAATGGTAGATTCCCTGGCCTGTCAGCACACTAGCCCCCTTCGAAGGCTGCTATGAAATCATTCTTCCCCTGCACCTGGCCAATGTGCAAGCAGGTCCCATCCAGCTCAGCTTCCAGGTGTGCAGGCTGTCAGAGAGGCTACAACAGTCTCTGACCATCAGGGATGGATTCAGAAATGGTACAGCGGCTTGATCAGAGCCCATGAAAAGCACTGGGACCTTTGTCGAGCTTCTGAAAGAGGCACACTGCTCTGTGAACTCACAGAAAGTGAAGAATGCAACACTTTGCCACCAGAGGAGCCAGCCTCACAAAGGCGACCGCTGACAGGAACTGGGGACACTAGCTAAGCCCTACCTAGCTCAAGCTGTGTCCAAACCAATTAAGTCCCTCTTTTGCCTTAGCTGTGCTCAGTGCCTGAACTCCTTCCACTATCCTTGGTTAATGCCTGCCACTGTTACAGTCCCTGGCCCTCTCCCTCAGAAGATGGCAAGCTCTTTAAAGGCATGGGTGTATCTTATTAAATCTGACAGCCCTCACAGCACCTGGCAGAGCACTTTGGTTAAGGAGCGTTTGCTAAATTAAAAAAACAAAAACAAAAACAAAAAAACATGCTCCTGGGGCTGGAGAGCTAGCTCAGAGGTTAAGAGCACTGCTTGCTCTTCCAGAGGTCCTGATTTCAATTCCCAGCAACCACATGGTGGCTCACAACCATCCATAATGAAATCTGGTGCCCTCTTCTGGTGCGCAGGTGTGCATGCAAGCAGAACACTGTATACATAAAAAAATAAATCTTAAAAAAAAAAAAAGCTATTTTTAAATTCTAGGCAGAACAAGAAAATCAAGCTCAGGCTCTTCCTGGTGGTGAGGAAAATGGAGGGGCTAGCCTTCTACCTCAAGCACGCCTTTCCTCTCCCCTCAGACCACAAACATCCATCAGCCACTCCTTCCTTAACCTGCTGACCCACTGCAGTCCTGACGGTAAATATAGTCAGCTCTCTGTAGAATGCAGCTTCTACACCGTGGACTAAAAATATTTGAGGGGAGAAAAGTCAAAGCTGTGTGTGTGTATATGTATTTTTTAAGTGGGGGGGGGGGGGCAAGGGGCCTGGTGGGCATATTCACCCCTGTATTCATGTGAAGGTCGGATGACAACTCTTGAAACCTGGTGCTCTCCTGCCAAACAGGTTCCTGGAATCAAACCCAGGTCTTCAAGCCTGGCAGCAAGCCGTACTGAACCGTACTGATCCACTGAGTCCAAATCCTATACTTTCATGTTCATCTTAAACTCAACAAAATTATAATTAAAAAAAAAATTATTATCCAAAGTAGTTAAGTAAACACTACAGTTTAAAAGGAAGGGCACAGTCTTGTATCTGTGGGTTTTGGTTTGTGTTTGTGTGTGTGTTGTTGTTGTTGTTGTTTTTTGAGGCAGAGTTTCTTGGCTGTCCTGGAATCACTCTGTAGACGAGGCTGGCCTTGAACTCACAGAGATCTGCCTGCCTCTGCCTTTGACAGATAACATTCTTGTTATAATTACTTGTAGCAAGGATTAGTGTCTCAAAATACTTTGTATAATTCCCATTTTGCCTCTGAACCTTGCCCTTTGGCTTTACCCCCTTGAACATGCACAGAGCATACATACTACACATTATGACACGGGTATTCCCACTGCTCTTCTAGTCAATTCCCAAATAAACTATTTAATCTTTAAAGACTGTTGGGCTGAAGAGATGGCTCAGTGGTTAAGAGCATGGGCTGCTGTTGCAGAGGACCCAGGTTCAATTCCCAGCACCCACATGGTGGCTCACAACAGTCTGTAACTCCAGTTCCAGGGGAGCCAATGCTTTCTTCTAGCTTCTGTAGGTGCCCGGAACACGTGTGGTACATAGACACACACCCAGGCAAAATACCTATACGAAAAAATTAAATTAAATTTAAAAAGGCACAATCACGTAGAACCATCTCTTGTCAACTGAAAATGTCACCAAAATATATTAAAAAAAAAAAACAAACAAACCCAACAACAACAAAGACAAAAAAGAAAAAAACGCACAAGATCCTAACAAATTATAGTGTGTGTGTTTACTCATATATAGTGATTTTTTTTTTCCTGGAAAATTATACAAGAAAGATACAACAGTAGAGGTATTTGGGATAAGAATGGTGTTAACGGACTCTGAGCTTTCACCCTACACTTTCCTGGCCAGGTGTGGGGTAGTCCCAGCCATGGAAGGATGAGGCAGGAGGGTCACTTGGTATGTAGCAAGACAAGACTTCTCTACTCCGCCCAGCTGGTCCCTGGGCTCCGCCCCCGGGCTGTGCTGAAAGCCACGACTTCTCACTGAACAGCAGCTGAGCACTGCTCTCACACACATTTCCCCGAATACTCGTGGCATTTGGGATCCACCCAAGGTTCCCATTCAATTCAACCATCACTAAATACTGGGCCAGGGTGATGGTTGAAAAGGTAAAAGCACTTGCTACCAAGCCTCATGGTCTGCGTTTGAGGCTCAGGACTCAAATGGTAGAAGGAGAGGACCAATTCCTAAAAGTTGTACTCTGACCTCCACATGAATATGCACACACACACAAATGAATGAATGAAAAATAAATAAATAAATAGATAGATAAATAAATAAATAAGCAAGCAAATAGTGATTTTTTTAAAGCCAAGCCAGGCAGGGGTGGCCCACAGCTTTAATCCCAGCACTGGAGAAGCAGAGACAGGTGGATCTCTGAGTTTGAGGCCAGGCTGGTTTACAGAATGAGTTCCAGGACAGCCAGGGCTACAGAGAAAAACCCTGTCTTAAAATAAATAAATAAATAAATAAATAAATAAATAAATAAATAAATAAATAAATAAATAGATAAATAAATAAATAAATGAATAAATGAATAAGTAAATAAGTAAATAAATAAATAAATGAATAAATAAATGAATAAATAAATAAATAAGGGGCCAGGACAGCCAGGGCTACAGAGAAAAACCCTGTCTTAAAATAAATAAATAAATAAATAAATAGATAGATAGATAGATAGATAGATAGATAGATAGATAGATAGATAGATAGATAGATAAGGGGCCGGAGAGATGGCTCAGCAGTTAAGAGCACTGACTGAGTTCCTGAGTTCAATTCCCAGCAACCACAAGGTGGCTCACAACCATCTTTAATGAGATCTGGTGCCCTCTTCTGGCGTTCAGGCCCACATGTAGGCAGAGCATTGTATACATAATTTAAAAATAAAATAAAAACTTAAAAAAAAACAAATAAATTATAAAACTTAAAACAAAACGAATAGCTGGGTGAAGGTATCACATGCCTTTAATCCCAGGATTTGGGAGGCCGAGGGAGGCAGTTTAAGGCCAGCCTGGTTTACAGAGTGAGTTCCAAGACAGCCAGGGCTGTTACAGAGAAACCCTGTCTGAAAAAAAAACAAAACCAAAGGTGCTGAGTTTAATTCCCAGCAACCACATGATGGCTCACAACCATCTATCATGAGATCTGGTGTCCTCTTCTGGCCTGCAGGCACACATGAAAGCAGAACATTATATAAATAATAAATAAATATTTAAAAAAAAGAAACAAGACCCTGTCTCCAAAACAAAACAAAACACCAAAAAAAAAAAAAAAAAAAGTTACTATGTATATTTCCTGACAAAAGGAAGCTATCAGGAACAGCAAAATTAAACAAATCCAGTGCACATCCCCAAAGAGACTGTCGACATTATGTAATACAAACTCCTTAAAGATCCTTAAGGGAATCCTAGCCAGGCTACAAGGCTGTCTTTGAGCAAAAGCCAAAAGCAGGGGCTGGAGAGTTGGCTCAACAGTGAAAGAGGAAATACTGATTTCCAAAGGATCCGAGTCCAATTCCCAGCACCCGAGTCTGGAGTCTGGTGGCTCACAACTGCCAGTAACTCCAGCTCTGAAAATGTGTCCACACATGTGGCCTCAGTGGGCAGCAGCATTCCAAAGCCCAGACCCACACACATACATTAAAAATAAGGAAAAAAAAAAAAAAAAGCCGGGCAGTGGTGGTGTGTGTCTTTAATTCCAGCACTCCAGAGGCAGAGGCAGGCAGATCTCTGTGAGTTCGAGGCCAGCCTGGAAAACAAAGAGAGTCTGGGACAACCAAGGCTATTACACAGAGAAACCCTGTCTCAAACTTCCCCCCACCCCCCATAAACCCCAAATCCCTGCACCTTCTCTCTACTTCCCATTTACCCCCATTCATTTGCCTTGTTTGTTTTGAGATAGAGTCTGGCTATGTAGACCAGGCTAGTCTTGAACTCACTCCCATCCTCCTGCCTCTGCCTCCCCAGTACAGGTGTGCTACCACCACTGCTGGCCAGACCCCTCTTTCTGACAACTCTCCACCAGTTCCACCAACCTGAGAATAAAAACTGCTCAATTACTAGAATTTCCTGCGCATCATTCATTACGAAGCATTAAGCACGTTCATTTTAGCCTCATACTACCGCAGTGCAGAATATTTTCATTTTTCAGAGGTGGGGAAATCTGAGCTCCAAAGATACAGATTACATGTCCAGGATTTAGAATCCATAGTCAACTGATTCCAGACAGGCAATCCTTAACCAGTGTTTACCGATCTCCCCAAACCCTCTAACAGGTCCAGCACTAGAAGCCACTCCCCCCTCTGACCCATGGAAAGGAGGGAAACCAACAAGAGTTTCCATTTGCAGGGAATTTCTGACCAATTGCCATCTTTGGTTTCCTGCTCAATTGCTCTCAAGACAGAAGGAACAATCCATCCAGTGTCAGACGACCTGAGGAGGCCACTGGAACCCGGTACTGGGCGCAGTCCCTGGTGTCTCGGTGTGGAAACCGAGGCCTTGCCTCTCCCATATCTTCACATCAGCAAAATGACCATGGCCGAGGCAGACACTGGCTCAGCCTGGCCAAGCCCTGGCGCCTGGGTATCGTTCAGGATCAGAAAGAGCAGAAGCCAGAACTCCCACCTGGACCATGAGGGGTGGGTCACCCACAACCAGGGAGGGTGGGGCATGTGTCTCGGGGTCCACCCGCCCCAGGCAAGAAGTGGGAGGGTCTGCCCCTGTGGGAGACTCCCGCGCAGCCGGGGTCCAGGGAGTTGCTGGGCCAGACGGCCCAAAGCTGGCCGGGAAAGGCACCGTGCCCGCTACCCACACCTGGTCCCCTGAGCCAGGCTCCGGAGGTGTCCCCAACTTTCCCCAAAACCAAAAAAGCCGCGGCGCGGACCGGATGCTGGCTTCTCACCTGGCACCGGGTTCCAGCCGCCGCCTGCGAGCTGCGCGTACGGACACGCCCCCCTTTCATTCACCTGCGCCCCTCCGGTGAGAGGCGGGGGAGATGGCCAATGGTGGGGGACCGTGGGCCGAGGAAGGCGGGTCCTTTAGCCAGCAGGTTCGTCAATGGTCCGGGCACCCACCTCTGGAGGATGCGCTCTGAAGAATCCAGCGTTCACGGGGTGATGGGAGTTGTGGTCTCAGCCCTCTGGCTTAAGGAAACAGCTAGTGGACAAAACTACAAGTACCAAGATGCCCAAAAGGCTAAGCGCTTGAAAGAATGAAAGGGGGGAAAAAGCCCTATATGGGGCTGGAGAAGTGTTCAGCAGTTACGAGACTGTACCGGTCCTGCATAGGGCCTGAGTTCAGTTTCCAGCCATATCAGGCTGCTCAAGACCACCTGTAACTTCAGCTCCAAAGAATCTGACTACCCCTTCTGGCCTCGGGGGCATCTGCATGCACAGAGCCGCACACACACATCCTGGACACAGAATTTCCCTAAAAATGTTTGAAAGACAAAATAAAATAAGCAGATTTAATTTATTTATTTAAGATTTTGCCCAGTGAGTAGGTGATTTCTGCGTGAGCATGAAGATTGGAGTTTGGATCCCCAAAACACGGAGCACATAAAGATCAGGCGTGGCAGTGCGCATGTTACCCCAGCACTGAGGGGAAGATGGGGGATCCCATCTTCTGGCCAGCCGATCTAGCCAAAATAGTAAGTTCCAAAATCAGCAGGAGACTCCATCCCAAAAAATGGGCACCGTGATAGAGGAAGACACCTGATATCACCACATTCACCTAGGACACACCTTTAACCCAAGAGCTCCCTGTTTTCTGTAAACAAGCACTTGTGCATAGCTCAGCCCTAGCACACACCTTTAATCCAAGAGCTTTCTGTAAATAGGACTAAATAAAGTTAACCCTCGGTCAAGAAGCAGAGCAAGCAACCAGTTTGACAGGAAACATGGGGCGGGGCGGGGCGGGGGTGGGGGTGGGGGTGGGGTGGGTAGGAGAGTGAGAGGATGTCCCGGAGGACAGATAGGGGAAGAAGAACTTGAGGACCTGACAGATGGTCTGGGATAGAAATAGGACAGGAAGTAGAAAGGAGGGACTTGGAGTTGAAGGGTATTTAAGACAGCGTGGAGGAGGAGTGAGAGTACTTTCCTCTTGGGACGTGAGCTGAGCAGGAAGGGCTTTTTACTTCTGGAAAGTCAGCTGAGTAGGAAGGTTAGCTGGGTGCTTTCTCTGCTTCTCTGAGCTAGTAGGTTTTCACCCCAGCATCTGGCTCCTGAGTCTTTATTCGTAAAATCGAACGCTTGGGATTTTCTTCTTTCTTTATAACCACACCCGCTCTCCTTTCTCTAGTCCCCTTGGCTCCTCCACGCCTAACTCCTACCCACTCTCAGTCCCAACCATAAGCCCTTAGGCATGGGACGATTCTGCAGCCCTGAGTCCATGAAGTGGCTATTAAAGCTTTTGGTAACACTTCTCTGTCCTGGATAAAGACTGTTTTGTATTTCTATCCCAGACCATCTGCCAGGTCCTCAAGTTCTTCCCCGTTGTTCTCTTTCCTGCAGGGAGATTTTTGTTTATTGCAGATGAATGTTCATACTTCTAACAGGTGGCAAACTTTTCAGGCTTTTTTTTTTTTTTTAAGCTATGGCTCAAAAAAATAAATCTGTTTTACAGACTTTATTAACTGCTATCTTTACAGTGCGGGTTTCAGAGCAGAAATTTCAGCATACTCCCAAAATAAAACCCCCCTAAGCAACTTAACTTTATTTTCTGTCCTTCATGTATATCTGTCCCAGCCAACTTTTACTTCTCTGACAGACAGCATCCAGTCCTGCAACTGCTACAAAACCAGCTCACTTTTCGGTCCCTCAGTGGTCTCGCAAAACCAGCAAGCCCTTATACTAAAGGCCCCTGTAAACCAGTCCAACCAAGTGAGTGAGGGGATTAAAGGCTTTCACAAGCTGGCTACCCGCTGCAGCCTCCAAGGGCAGACTCCTGTGCTGGGCTCTCGGTCTGCTCTTCCTTGGGCCCCTGGCTTCTACCCCATCTCAGCCCACTGGTCTCTATTCTTCTTATAACAATGATTGTGCCTTTCCTCGGGTCTCCTACCATCACCTGACAGCTTGAGCCCCTTTTAGCATTCTAGACTCCCCTCCTCTTCTCAAACCCCCCAATCAGCAGGAAGCAGCCAGAGGACTATCCTTGCCCTTTATCATCAACAAAAGGTTGGGTCCACAGCATCAACCCAAAATGGCAGTGTTGGTGACATTGTCCTAACCAGAAGGCCTTGGCCAGGAGAAGGACTGTTATTGGGTGAACCGTTCAGATCTCATAAGGTGGGTTTCTGTTTACCAGGAACCTCGGCTAATCCACCCTCAAAAGGCCCGCTTCCTCAGGCTAGCGCATCTCCGTCATGGTCAGTCCAAACACCTTGTATCAGCTCTAAGCTCCCCACCCTGCTGACTGTCGAATGAAACCTTGCTTTACGGCCATTTTGCTCTTCTCTTCCCCATGGCCTTGGCAGTTTGACCCCTGATAAACCTTCCTTTCTACCCACGGATCAGTCAAGTGTGGTGGCTTCACTGCACCCTCCCTTACAAAAGTCATGTCGAATTTATAAGGAGCGCTTCTTTTGAAGAAAAAAGAAGAAAAGCTCCCAGTCTTTACTAGGTTCTGATAGGCTGTACACCTGACCATAGGGGACCATGTAACCTTGCAATCTAAGGTGCCCATCACAAACCATATGTATTTGGCACCAATGCTCAGTGATTCTCATGATTCTCATGAGCAAAACCATCCTGAAGGAACTGAAAGATCCCCGGCTGGGTATCTTTCGTCTGAGAGACCCCTCCCAAGGAACAACGAGGCCATTCGGATGCAAACAGCAAGAGGCTTTTATTTTGATACACGGGTACCCGGGGCAGCAAGGTCATTCGGATAACTTTGCGCGCCCCCTAGGTAGGAAGCTGGGGTTTTTATAGGGTTTTAGAGCAGAAGCACTGGTACAGAAGCGAGAAGCATGGTTACAGGGGGCTGATTGGTACATTTTCATGAGACCACGATTTGCGTCAAAGTTTGGCAGGGGCACCAAGATTTCAGGAACTGGGTGGTCAAGGGGGTTATGATGACCCCTTGACGTGGCCCGCCACCTGTTATTTTGTTTTTCTCTATCTTAACTGAAACAGTCTCACAGATATCTATGAGGGTGATTAACACAAACTGTTTTTAGTATGACTGGGGCAGCCTGACCGCAGATATCCCAAGTGGGTGACACAGCTAGGTTTCTCAGTAATTTTCCAGTTCCCCACCTAGCCTACAGAGTTTCTCATAGCTATGTTTAACTTAGGGTGAGGCAGGGGTCTTTCAGAACAATAGGCAAATTGTTTGCGTTTCTGCTTGGCCCATTCCTGCCACACTGTTGCAGTGACTTCAGCTCAGGTGAGAGCGAAGGAAAAACTTGCCTAAAGTGTGCTTTGGGACTATATCTGGCCCAAGCCAGAAGTGGGCAGTCGTGGTGGGAGTCTGTTAATCAAGCTCACCCCTAAGGAGAAAGACTACTAGATAAAGAGGAAGAGGGACCTAGGGGAGCTGGAGAAATAACAAGACGATATAACAGGGCTCGGGGAGAGATAATCAAAGTGCAAGAAAATGTCATAGTAAAGCCTAATTTTATGGTATAATATTCTTGTGGAATGTGCCCTCGTTCATTCAGACCTAAAATATGACCAAAAGCAAGTGTAATGGGTAACATTTGAATGGTAGGAAACTATGCGGGCTTGGAGGTTTAGGATGGAGTAACTATTGCCCAGCATTGTGCTCCAGGTTAATTAAATAAATCCTAGTCTCCGTGTGGTGATTTGGATATACAGCTGGGTTAGGAATAACTGCTGATTAACTAAAAGATATGTAAATAATAAATATTAATAACCCACATTTTATTTTTAAATATATACTATAAAAATTAAGGTTAAACAAAATGCAGTCACATGCTTTTTTTTTTTTTTTTTTTTTTTTTTTAATCTTCTGGGACACAGATCTCTCAGTAACAAAAAGTTGGACCTCTTCCCTGGGCAAAATGCTTAACCATCTGCCGCTGGCTGAAGGCAGATGAACTACCATGGAATGACAGCCATGTGGGAAAGCCAGGAGCACAAGTTCAGCCTTAAAATGCAAGGCGGGTAAGGATTGCAGCCTGAAGGAACTCCAGCCGGCGCCTGCAGGGTGAGCATGGTTCTGGCCGGCCTTGCCCTTCTCCCTCATTCCCTCTGCCTTGCTAAAAACCATCAGATGACATTCCTAAAGCCCGCCACCACGCTCTATTCCCTTATTTGGCCACTTCCTCCTCCTGTACTACCACCGTCCAGCTATCGAAGTATAGAAGTCCAGCCATCAAAAGACCTCTTTGGCTCACCTAGTTAAGATGCCCAATTAAAATTAACCACCTCACCCTAACACAGGCTTCCCTTTTCACCTTTGTAAACTGCCATTTGCCTATGGGCCACGTCTGTCTCCTCTCTTATCTTTTTCATCTCTCCACCCCAGGACAAATATCTCTTCCTCCTCTCCCTGTTCCCTTCCTCTTCTCCCTAGTCCTCTCTCTCCTGTCTTTGTTTCTTATTTCCTGCCCTCTGTCCCTCTGGAGCAAATAAATCTCCTTTGTGCTGAGAACCTGATCTTGGGGTGTCCTGTGCAGACACTGTTCCTTACACTGCTACCTCTTGAATTTCCTTTCTCAGTGTATTTATATATTTTAAGTAGTTTCCCTTTCCCTTTCCATCACTACTGTCTCTCAGGAGCTTGACTTCACCATTTAGAGAATAAATTGCAGGTTATTGACAAAAGATACTTGAAAACTTGGTGGAGGAATGCCAAGGCTTGGAGTATCTTCCTTGGGAAGGCTATTAGTTCTTGTCACTGTCACAAAACACCTAGCAGAAGCAAACCAAGGGAGGAAGAATTTATTGTGTTTCATGGCTTCACATGAGGCAAAGGCGTGG